AATTTCTTTTTTTTTTTTTTTGCTTTCTTTTTTTTTAACAAAGCATACTCATTGGAAAAAATTTGTTCAGAAACTTCAAAAGTCAGTCTGGACCAGCTGCGTTAGCACACACCTAAAATCCCAGTATTTGGGAGACTGACTGAGGAACAGCACTTGAAACCAGGAGTTCAAGGACAGCCTGGGCAATGTAGTGAAAACTCACCTCAAAAGTAGTAAAAAGTAAATTGAATGAATGAATGAATAAAATGTCTCAAGTCATTATGGTAGAAAGACTCAGAAACAATACAAAGAGAGAGAGCAAAAAAGGAGAAAGATTAGTTATTGTGAAAACCAAAAATGATAAATTACATTCAGTTTTAGACACCACTCACTATGTATCATTTCCTTTCAAGTTTGACGTTGGTTCACTTGCCTGAGCGAGTCCACACAATACAATTATATGTTTTTAACTGTGGGAGGCCAAATTCAGCAGCTTAACTTTATTTTCTGCAAATACAACACATGCAGCAAACAGGCAATAGATCCATTTCAATTAAGGAAAAATTGAAAACTACAAAACCACGTTAATTTCTATTTTTTTCAAGGCTATTATTTATTTCCTTAGAAATTCCATATTTCTAATGTCCTCTCATGGGTGAGTTGTTAGTCCTGAGACACATCTATCCCATGGCAAGCCAGCATTTCAGGAGGAAACTGAAGGGCACATATGGGGGATGGGTGTTACATTCCTAACTGTTCTACCCCACCACATATCCCAAGATATTTGTTCCAGCCACTGTGTTCTGCTCTGTGAGCGGGAGTCTTCCAAATAACAACTTTATGTGCCATGTGAGAACCCTGGGCACATCAGCTTCCTAATATTGCAAGGCAAAACATAGTGACCGTTCTGAACCATAACCATGACTTTGTTTTGTTTTGTGGGTTCTTTTGTATTTCCTATTAATATCTCATATTGGTAAGTGAACATGAACCATGTGAACAATGAGAACATTTTCTTTTTGCATAAAAGAAGAGAATTTCTGGGAACTGCACTGCCAAGATTACATGGCGACCCATGGCAAGTCACTCATTTTGACTCTATCATGAGCCGTCCTTGAATAGCATACAGTCTTAGCACTTGAAAGTGCTAGACAGCAAAGGCCTATGTGACGTTAAAAGTCAGTAATCCTGTAAAAACACTATGTACGTGGTTTTATAGTTAGTGAGCCCTACATCATCACATGATCAAAGAACTAAAATAGGGTGGGACAGCCTCATCCCGCATGTGACCACCTACATTTTCCTAAATATTCAGTCATTGATACCTCCCTTCCTCCCCTCACATATGCGCAGCAAAGAAGAGACAGAGAGAGGGAGAGAGAAAAAAAAAACAGAATTAAACAATAGTATCTGCAAAGGAATCATCAACAGAGGATAAAGATGTAAGCTCTTGAGAGTATAAGAGAATATAGCTTTTAGAATTAACTCATAAAGGTGAGATGATTAGCTTTACATTATTAATTATTAACCTTGACCATGTAAGGGACTGTTAGTAGTGGTTTAACCAGGTCTGCGAATTTTTTATCATAATTGTGTTTTAAATTAAAAGTGATTTAATTGAAAAGTGAAATTACCTAAAAACATCAGCAAATAATAATCGTAATCTTCAAAAAGGTGATTAAGTCATCTTTAGTTTTAATTTCACAAACTTTATTTCTCATAATCTTCCTGGGGATCTTTTTAATGAAGACATTGAACATTAGAAAAAGGTCTAGTCTTTATCAACAGGTCATAACTTGGTGCGTATACTGCTAAGGCCTGGCAACCTGAGTTCAATCCCTGCAACTCACATAGGAGGGAACAGATTTCTGCCCGTTGTCTTCTGACCTCAAAATGATTATATTAAACAAAATAAACCCAATTCAGAAAGCCAAATGCCCCATGTTTTCTCTCATATGTAGAACCGATATCTGAGTGTGTATGTGGGAGGGAGGCCTAGGAAGAAGAGCATAGGAGGGGAAAGGGGGACCTTGGAGGAAGGAAAGGGGTAATGGAATTTGTGTGGCAAGAAAACAGAAGGGAGAGTCTTTGGAAGGAGGGAGGGAATCATCAAGAGAAGGGCAGGAGACACAGGGAAGGCAGCCAGAGAAGGAAAGAAAAAAGACAAAAATATAAGGATTTATGTGTGAAAATACCATAGTGATGTTATCTTTTTTTTGCTGTCTTTAAAATATTAATAAAAGGAAAAACATAGGTTAGGAGAGGGATCAGTGATAGATGCTAAGCGGGGGGGGGGAATAAGCGTGGGTAACACGGGCATAAACATGATCAAATTACCTTCTGAGCATGTTCTATATAGATATAATTATTTAATATATTATCTTTTTAAATATTTTTAAAAACCTGTCTGTGTGGCTGTGTCATGAGTGGGTGCCTAAAGAGTCCGGAATAGGGTATAAGATCCCCTGGAACTGGAGTGATGGGCAGTTATGAGTTATTTGATGTGATTCTGGGCATCAGAATGTGTGCTGTGGATAAGAAGGGGCCCTTAATCTCTGAGTCATCTCTCCAGTCCCTCGGAATACTATCTTATTATAATTAGTCCCTTGTATGTCAACTTTGGGAACTAGACATTAAGTAACTTTCAAAGCTCTATCTGGAATTAAATACATTTCCTTTTTCCCATTATAGATGGCTATGTTTTTCGGAGTTACCTGGTGGACAAGTAAGGCCATCATTTTCTTCTATTATCACTGTATTTGTTAAGAGACTCTTCTGGTTTCCTTAAGGAGTTATTTCCAGAATGCCATGGATTGAGCAATGTATTATATTTGTTTCAATATAGTAGTACCAATAACAACGCTGAATATGCTCATCTGAATTAGAAAGAAAGTCTATCTCACTCATGGTGAATAGTCTTATATACACATTGAGCTGTCTGTTCAGCAAACCCTGAAGACACACAAGGAAAGCACTACCCTTTCCACTAATTGTTTGCATTTTGTTTATTAATTACTATAGTATTAGAACAGAACTAGCTAGATCCAAATGGTGTTGCCGTAGGTACTAATAACATCAGTTAATAGCTCATAGTTTAGCTCCTAACTGAAGATTTTTCTATATTCACACCGAGCATAGTGCTCTCTTCTGTTGCCTTATTGACAGTATGTGCCCTCAAAAGACAGTAATCAATGACTCTTGTATTCTTATGAATAAGACCTTTTCACTGTCTGTCACAGCCTGGTACTTGTAAGCCCTTGGATTCCTCTAAAACACTTTAAGATTCTGCAGCAAGACACCCAGAGCAGAAAATTAACCCCACTATATTTGTAAAAACTGACATAATGAAAGAATCAGGGATTCACAACCCATTTACCATAAGCAGCAGGACACCCATGTGAACAGGGCATTGCATGTTAAGAGTTCTGTCCGCGAACCAATAGATAGAGGACAGGGGAACGGCCCTAACATCTGTGTTTTCTTCAGCATCTGTATTACACTGGTGGGCACGGGATATCTGAGAGGCTTTGCTCTAAGAAAGATGCAGATTTTCTGGGAAGAACGTGTCACAGATAGGAGCACATCGTCATCTGTGATGACTGCAGGATGGTTAAAAGAAAACGGAGAAAGGACACTCAGTGACTGTTGGCTCGCTACCTGTTAAAAGGCATACATCAATAAACATTTGTGGACTAAACAGCAGGAAAATCTGTTCTCTGCATTCACATCAGATTTCCAGTAGTCAGATGCTCCCTCCCCCTCAGAGACAGGGCCCAAACAGAAGACATAGGGAGCGTACAGCATCTGCCACAGTTGGCAGAAACAAGGAACCTCATGCTGCTGCTGCTGCTGCTGCTGCTGCTATAAAGCCCAGAGATAGGTAGGGCAGGAACCAAGAGCATGTCCACCCTAAGTGATGCAGCTTCCTCACAGCTCTGAAGCCAGGCACTGCATCCTCCATTTCAAGATTATGGTCATAATTATAATATAGTATTATATTGTTTATAAATCACTCATTTGACTATGTGCCCTTACAATCAAAGCTTACATCTGGCTCATAGTTGTCTCCCAGCATATGAGAACAACTCAGTGTTTGTTAATGAAACATTTCATAAAGCTGCAGGGCTAAGCAAAACCTGAAAGTGTATAAAAGTAGCCAGAATTACTGCAGTGGATGTGATCTTCACAATAAGTAGTAATATAAGAAAATTCGATGACTATATATTCCACAGGTAGTATTTAAATACTTTAAACTTGATATTTAGGCACCATAACTAGAAGCACGTGAAAACAAGATAGCCATTTTCCATGCCAAATATATTGCATTCATTGAAAATTTGAAACATTTGAAACTCAAGTAAAGGTGTAGATCTAGTAAGAATGACTGTCAAAATTCATTGCACTTTTGGATTGAGGCCCCTGGATGAGGGTTTTGCCTTGGCAGCTCAGTTTGTTTAGTTCTGTACCCAGTTCTTAGGGATTCAGGGGGCCTATGACCTTGGCAGCACTCAAAGTAGGGCATGATCTGTGCTCTCAAAACATGTGTCTATTATTCGGTTTGTAGAATGAACGAGAAGTCAATAAAGCGAGGGAAGGAGAGCTTGAGGTGGATGTAAAATCTTTGTCCACTTACACATGCACATCATAGCCTCTCTTTACCTCTCATGGTTCTGATATATGGCAATCATATTGCTGCTAGCTTCTATATATTGATGTTGGGAAGATATTCTCTATACAATAAAAATTGTGGTTTTTCTGTGTTTACAGTGATGGAGAAATCTATGATGACATTGCTGATGGTAAGTCTTGTGTAGCTCCCACCATGGTAACTGAGAAAACAGCTTGCTCACTGAGAGCCATCAGATATGATCAGAATTTGAGTTTCTTTAAAATGTGAGGAAAAGTAATGGTCTGGTGTCGTAGAGAGAGGGAGAGGTTCATCTTCACACACGGTTAGGAAATTAAGTGAAAAGAAAAGAGTATTTATTCTCCAGAATGAGAAGTATAAAACAGCCATGTAATCCTAGCACTTGGGCGGTAAAGGCAGGAAGATCAGAGTTAAAGGCCAACCTTAACTACACAGTGAAAGTTGGGGCAAGCCTAGGCTACATGAGACCTGGGTCAAGAACAACAGAACAGGAAGAGGTAGAAGGAGTGAAAAGGAGTGGAGGGAAGGGAGAACTCTTGGGTAAATTTTGTATTGTAGCATGAGTTAAGAGTTGCTGCGCTTTTTTTTTTTCGCTTTTTTTTTATCAAAGAAATGCATTTGTCATTAATAGGTAGCTTGTTTTAAAGCGAACAATATTTATATCACAGCAACCATAATGCCCAAGAAGCTAACAATGGATTATTTTTGCAGCCTATAAAATATGAAATTAACAAGTCCTAAATGAACAAATGTAAAGCTGACAAATGCTAAAATCTGTGACTAAAAAACCTTTGATCAACAAACAGATACATATTTCATAACTGATAATGCTACTAAAATCATCAGGTATTTTTAAATGATGATTTAAAACATTAATCTCAACAAAACATGTGCAGTTGTCATGTTGCCCTTTGGCTGGTGTGTGTATGTGAATGTGTGTGCTTGTGTATGTGAGAGTTTGCTTGTGTTTGGGTGTGTGTGTGTGTGACTGTGTGTGTGTTTTGTTTTGTTTTGTTTTGTTTGAGAAAAGGTCTCACTACATAGCTTCTGCTGGCCTGGAAGTTGCTCTCTAGACCAGGCTGGCCTTGAACTCACAGAGCTCCACCAGCCTCTGCTTCCTGACTGCTGGGATAAAGGTGTTTGCCAAGATACCTGGCATCATCCAGGGTTTTATTGTTGTTGTTGTTTTTTTTTTTTTTACGTCAGTCCTGGCATCAAACCTATTCCCATAACTTGCAAGCAAATGCTTTTCTGATAATCACCTCCCAGCTCCGACCTTTTAGTCTTTAGCTTGAGAAACTTGTCAATGCTTAACTAATTTCATTTCCAAAAAGTGATGTGATGCCTGAATAATTAATCTTCAGTCTCATTTGATGAAGAATAAATCTGTCTAGGAATATTGTTGAAACTGGGCTATCAATGAAGATGTCTTAGGGTTTTTTATTGCTGTCTTGAAACACCATGACCAAAAGCAAGTTGGGGAGAAAGGAGTTTATTAGGTTTACACTTCCACATCATAATTCATGATTAAAGGAAGTCAGGACAGGAACTCAAACACGACAGAAGCCTGCAGACAGGAGCTGATGCAGAGGCCATGGAGGGGTGCTGCCTACCCACTTGCTCCCAATAGCTTACTCAGCCTGCTTTCTTGTAAAACCCAGGACAATCAGCCCAAGGATGGTGCCACCCATAATAGGTTGGGTCTTCCCCTTTCAATCACTAATTAAGAAAATGTTCTACAGGCTTGCCTGCAATCTTATAAAGGAGGTTTATCAGCTGAAACTCCCTCCTTTGTGTTGACTCTAGCCTGTGTCAAGTCGACATAAAACTAGCCAGTACAGAAGGTGAAATATCTCGCATTTCGCTTAAGTAGTTTTGTCTTCTTAATATAAAATAAGAAAGTTTTACTTTTTTTCTAAATTTTAATTTAGGAGAGATTGAATTTCCCAGATTTCTAACTTTAAGCCCTTAGGGCATGTTGTATATAATCTGTATTTAAATTTTTTGTGGCCAGTCGTGGTGGTGCAGAGCCAGCACTTTGGGATATGGAAGCAGGAGGCTCAGGAGTTGAAAGTCCTGTCCAATGATCATTGAATTCGAGAGCCACTGGGCTTCATGAAGACTTGTTTCCAAAACCTTAATAGGGAGCTGGAAGAATGAATGACTCAGTAGGTGAAGCTTCTATTGCAGTCATGCGGACCTGAGTCTGCTGGCTAGAACACACATGAAAATGACAGGCACAATGACACGGGCTTGTAATCCCAGTCCTGGGGAGGTAGAGACAGGAAGACAGTCCCTGGGGCTCCCTCTGATTAGTGGGACTGGAACCAATGAGAGACCCTGTCTCAGAGAAAGCACATGGTTCCTGAGGATGTTGCTAGAGATTGTCCTCCAACCTTCACAAACACGTGCATATGTACCTGCACACACACGAACACATACACACACACACAGAGATGAACATATAAAAATAATGAGTGAATGAACTAAAGTTTTCTTTTCTTTCAGGTTGCATCTATGACAATGACTAGCACGCGGGTCTGTTCATTCTGCTGTGACCAACATGAATTTTAATTGGAATGTTTTTGGGTATCCTAGGAAAAAAAATGAATGTACAAAATGAAATTTCAATCTCTTTATAAAAATTTGAAATTTAAAGCTCGGAAAATGAACTCTTTACTATGTCAGAAGATTGGCAGTGAGATATAAGAATTCATCTCCTTTCTTTGTTTTCATTTTCTTTTGTTCAGGGGGCTCTTACTTTGCAGTTCAGGCCATCTTCCAGCCTCAGCCTCCCTAGTGCTTTGACAACAGACATGAGCCACCACATCTGGCTTAAGGATCCCATTTTACTTCAGTTATGCTTATAAAGGCACTATTTTTCTTTTTTAGACAACCATTAGGGACTCTTCCCCATTCCCTAACCCTTTTCAAAGAAATAAAGAAAAAAGAAAGCCATCCCAGAGGAAGAAGAAAGAAGACTATACAGCAGGAATTCTTATTTTTAATCCCACAAGAAGACAACCTATTGCTCATGCTGTCCTTACAGCGCTTGCTCAAATTACCTACTCAGAAAAGGCGGAGTTTCTGAAAGGCAATGGAGCAGCAATACATTAGTCTCGAAGTGTTCTCTCTCTGTTCACTGTGAAGTCAAGTCAATCACTCACTAAGCATGCTTTACGTTCTGTATGTACATCTAAGATTAACCTGTACAAGAGTCTAAAGGAAGTCTTAATTTGTGGGTTCCAGCACACATGGTTGAATCTCAGACTTTGTTTAGACTCTCTTATTGATCATGATGCTACCTTGGCAATATTCATTACCCTTCGATGTCCTTATAACATAGGATTCAACTACATTTATCTCAACATTTTCCACTACCAATTATTTCAAGCTTTTATGGTTTCCCCATCTCAGATGCACACTTCAGAAGGTTTTTTTCTTTTTTCTTTTAAATCATTGATTAAATACTGATTAATATATTGTATATGTAAATTGCAAAGATCCAATGGAATTTCTGAAAAGTGACCTCCCCCCATTGAATTTTTTAAAAGTCAAGAATTGTATGGGATAGAGAGATAACTCAGTTGGTAAAATGCTTGTATGGCAAGTGCAAAGACTGAATTCAATCAACACATCCCAGATGACAATCATGTGTGCTGACCAGTACTTGGAATCCCAGTGCCAGGGAGACAGAGATTGGAGGACCCCTGGGGTTCACTAGTAAGCCTGTACGTCCTGAGTGGTGAGTTCCACACCAAAGAGAGACTCTTGTCCTAGGAGATGGACAGCAACTGAGGAACAACAGTCAGGTTATCCTCTGGACGCTACACATATATGCCCGCACATGCATGGGAACATGCACACACAGACTGAAAAATCTGTAAAGTAGCTCCAGGTCTTCAGAAGGTTAGATTCAGGGTTTCTATTAAGTGTTTTGAAATGTTAGAAATGTCAGCTTCTACAGCTCAGTTTATAGGCTGCAGGGCTCTGAGTCTCCTGGGTGGGCAATGATTCATCTCAGCTAGCCTTTGATTGGAAGTTCTTCGGTGGCATTAGCCAGCATGCTTCGTTGTGACGAACTTCTTTTGTCACTAGATACAAATTTCATGGCTCAAAAGTGACTGTGTGTTAACTTTGGGATCAAATATAGGTTAAATGCTGACTGTATTTCCAGTAATTTTCTGTGATTAAGAGTAGCACAGATTCAATGTAAATGTTAGGCTTTAAAAATCCCAAATTAGATCAAGAGACTCTTTCAGCTTTGGTTTATATTCAAAGAAATGGGCGGATACCGGTGAGAGACTTATGTAATAATTATTTAATATATATTTGAAGTGTTAATTTTAATATACTAAATGTGATTTTGTTATCGATTGTGTGTGGAATTTTGTCATGTGAGAAGAGTGGCCAATTAAATAAATACCTTTCCAGCAAGTGACGCGGCCTCCCACTTCTTGGACTCATCAAAGTCATCAGCTTTCCTCTCCCTTGACTTGGTGCTGTCTACAGAAGAGCCCTATCTTCACCGTCCTCCCTGCGTCTTGTTCAGCCTCCTATTCCCAGCCACTCGCCCTGCTGCCTCTTGATACATTGTTTCCTATTTTGTCTTAGTAATAGGTAACTAAGTACAATTCTCTCCAACTCCCTGCAACAGAAACTTAACCCATGTTCAGAATGCTAAGAGAACAAGACATCATGACCTGAATTCAAAGCCATAACCAAGCGTCCCTTTCCTCCTAACTGCCCTCTGAGCTGCTTCCAATATAAACCATTCAGGCCCTTTATTCTCCTTCCACCTTTCTTATCTCCTCCCTGCTCCTTCTCTTTCCTTTGTCACATCTCCTCTCTCCTTTCTTCTTTCCCCACTTCCTCCCCACCTTTAACTTCGATGTGAGTAGTTTTCCCTGTATATTTAAAATACACTAAAATATTCCTTAGCTGTAAGAAAACCCGCAATTTTAACTTGAACCCAAATACTTCACCTACAACCTATTTCAACATTCCCTTTCTCATTCCCTTATCTTTAAATGATGAACTGCAGGCACCCGCTGTTACCACGTGCCTCAGATTCTTCTAGTTGTTCTGAATCGGATGACCCAAAGGCTCCCAATACTGTGTTTGGGAGAACATCGCGAGGTTTGTATGAAGATCAGGATCCCTGCAGGTTGTCCTAACCAGTGATTGAGAATAACAGGGGTGGAAGGCACATACAGACTCTTCACAAAGCAAATCCAGTTGAGGCCTCTGCAACAACCTTGCTAACCCCTCCACAGAGTCCCAACCATCCTACCTCCTGCCTTTACTAGAGCAGGTGTGCCCTGCTATTACCAGGCTCCTCACCTTCCTGGCTGGCTCTCTCGCGCAAACCTGTTCCTTCCTGTCCACTGAAAGAAAACTCCTGCATTTTCAGCTCACCTTGGTGTCCGGTTTCTAGGGAAGCCAGACTTCTCTGCAACACCTTTGTAGAAATACCCGGGTGTCTCTCCTGTCCTCGGTGATTCTAAACTCTGCCACGTTGACAATGAAGATGAAGTACTTCGAGGCTCTTTGGGGACATCACATAGGAACAGCTTTAAAGTGATGGTAGCAGCAGCCAGGTTGGAGCCATCTGGAGACTGAGCACAGTAAAGCTGAAAGATTAGTAAAACCTGTACCTGTCAGGGCAGTGGTGGCGGTGGTGCCTGCCTTTAATTCCAGCACACAGGAGGCTGAGGCAGAGTTCAAGGCCAGCCTAATCTACAGGGTGTGTCTCAGGGCAGCCAGGGCTACACAGGGGAAACTCTGTCTTGAAAAAACAAAACCAACCAACCATACAAACAGAACTGTATCTGAACCCTGGGATAAACTGAATCAGAATTTGGGGGAGTAATTTTGAGAAACCTTTTTAAGTAACCCTAAATATGAGTTTGAAGCTACTTTGGAGCATTCCTCCTCCCTCCCCCGTTCATCCTTCGTCATGTTCTCAAGATCCACTCAGTCTCCAGATGGCTCCAACCTGGCTGCTGTTACCATCACTTTAAAGCTGTTTCTATGTGATGTCCCCAAAGAGCCTCGTAGTAGTTCATCTTCATTGTCAACGTGGCAGAGTTTAGAATCACCGAGGACAGGAGAGACACCCGGGTATTTCTACGAGGGTGTTGCAGAGAAGTTTAACCGAGGAGGAAACACATTCTGAGTGTGGGCAACACTCTCCCTGAAACCGCGGATAGAATAAAAAGGAGAAAACAAGCTGAGCACTCATCTCTCTCTGCTCCCGGCCACAGACACACTGAGACTAGACACTCCACCCTCCTGCTGCCACGCCTCTGCCACATGAAGGACGCTCACTGTCTTAGTGTTCTGTTGCTATGGAGAGACACCGTGGTCACAGTCACTTTTATAAGGGAAGACTTTTAGTTGGGGCTGGTTTACAAGTCCAGAGGTCTAGTCATGGGTGGGAAGTGTGGCAGTATGCAGGCAGACATGGTGCTGGAGAGGTAGCTGAGAGTTCTACGTCTGGATTGGCAGACAGCAGAAAGAAAGCTCACCCTCATTGGCAAACTTCCTTCAACAAGGTCACAAGTCCTAATAGTGCCATTCCCTATGAGCCTAAGGGGGGCATTTTCATTCAAACCACCACATTCTACACCCTGAGACGCACAGGCTTGGTCATATCATAATACAAAAATGCATTCAGTCCAACTTCAAAAGTCCCCATACTGCACAGGAGTCTCAACAATGTTTATAAGTCCAAAGTCATCTAAGTCTCTTCCAAGACACATGCAATCTCTTAACTTTAAACCCTTGTAAAATCAAAAGGCAGATCACATACTTCCACATAATAACAGAGACTATACATTACCATTCCAAAGGGATGGAAAGGAAGCACAGTGAGGAAATGCTAGACCAAACAAGACCAAAAACCAGCTGGGCGAACTCCAAACCCTGCATCTCCATGACTGATGTCAATCTGCTCTTCAGATCTCCAACTTCTTCCTTCTCTGTTGACTACAGCACACCTTTCTCTCTTGAGCTGGATCTACTCCCTGTTAGCAGCTTTCCTTGACAGGTATCCCATAACCTGACGTCTCCAACATTCTGGAGTCTCCAGGACAATCCAGGCTTTACCTTAACAGCTTCATGCAATGGCTTCTCAAGGCCTCCATGAAGGGACATCCCTGACACACATCTAGTCTCAGCAGCTTTCCTTGGTCACATGGCAGGATATTCTACAACCCCTGTCTTCTGTCTTTAACCCTAAAGACAGAACCATGTAGTCAAAGCTTCTAAGTTTTGCTGCTTGCAGGGGCTGGAACATGTTCCCCATGTTCAAAGACATTTTCACTAATTCTGTTTTTGATGGTTGCCTTCACTGCCTAAACTTGGCTGTCCTGGAACTTGCTCTGTAGAGAAGCCTAGCTTCAAACTCAGAGATCCGCCTACCTCTGCCTCATGAGTGCTGGCATTAAAGGTGTGTGACACCACACTGGACCCTAAACTTTTCTTTAATTTCCTTTCACAAGTTGGAAGTTTAGCTGGGTGGTGCCTTGCCCCGAGGATACCACTCCTTTTATTCTATTTAGCAGCAGGCTTTTCTTTTAATATGCTGATCTCCTTGAATGCTTATCTCCTTGTAGTTCCGTTACAGTTCCTGGTTCCCCTTTTTCTCCCCAAGCTGTACGGTTTGTATTTTTCTTTGCTCAGCTTGCTTCTTTTCATTATAGACCTGCTTAAGACTGGACACTAATAACCACATACTAGTCAGTAGTAAGCTGTTCTGGCATTTTCTCTGCCAATGCTGCGAATCCAAAAACATCTTCAATATGGCCTGAGGCAGAATTTTTGTACAAAGGCAGAAAACAGTTACCTGCTTCACAGAAACATCACTGAAACAAACTCTAGGCCACTTCCTAATATTCTTTCCCTCTGAAACCTCTTGAGTCAGGCCATCACAATTCTACATTGTTCTCAGCACCACCGACTTCTCTGCTCCTACTAGTGTGTCCCATTAGTTCCCACTTAAAGCATTCAACTGCTTTCCTAATCCAAAGTCCCAAAGTCCACATTCTGACAAGGATCATAGGTCTATCAAAAACAATACCCCACTTCTGATACCAACTTCTGTATTAGTTAATACTCTATTTCTGTGAAGAGACACACTATGACAATGATAGCTCTTATAAAGGAAAACATTTAATTGAGGCTGGCTTACAGGTTCAGAGGTTTAATCCATTATTATCATGGTGGGAAACACTGTGTCACGCGGGCAGACATGGTGCTGAAGAAGTAGCTGAGAGTTTTGGGTCCTCTGCAAGAGCAGCAATCTCTCAGCCCCAAAATTATTTTTAAAGACTATCAGAATGTGTTTGGTATACACTTTAAGCTCAAAATCATATTCTTCCATTGTTTTCTTGAAAAATCCTGTTCTCTATCATTCTGACTCACTTTTTGAAGATCTATCAACAAATAATGGTTGTATCCTATGGAAAAACAATGGTACTTATGATGAGAAGATGGCAACTTGATATTCAGCGTTTGGTCTGGGCATGGTAGAGAGCAGTGAAGACCGTGGCAAATTATACAATATAAGTTCTGGGCACAGGAGTAAGTTGCTAATTGTGGTAGATGTTTTTTTATTCAGCTCTCCGAGATGCCCCTTCCTAACCTTCTAGCTACTGTGTCCTTTGAGCCTAACCTTTATCAGTTCCCTCCAGAGGATCACTTGACTTTTAGCTTCTATTCCATGTGACCCATGGGGAATAGCAGCAGTCTGTCAGAGATACCAAGAGTGAGGATTCTTCAGAATCTCTCTGGAGGAGTTCACACAGCTGGTTGTGTCCTTGCTTCCCTGACGTTCCAGCTCACTCAGACAGACCTTTCCATAGGATACTGGCTTTCTGATTCCATTGTTTCTCCTTCAACTGGCTCCTTTCGGGATCGCAGACACACCCACTAAGTGTCAATCAAGGAAATCCCTCTTTATTTTGTAGTTTCTACACGCTGTCTATCCACCTTTAAATAAGCCTTTATTGTGTCCTCAGACTACTCAGTTTGAGTAACCATTTGTTTTGCACTTAACGACTTAATGACTCACTTATAATGGCTTATGAGTCTCATGTCACAATGGTTTTTTTCCCAGAATCTAGATAGAAAGCTAGTTTCCCTGTTTCTTAACCATGCAAGACGCAATTAAAGAATATTTTAATATGAGCATTAAAAAATTATGGTATCTATGATGCCTTGGTGGTTACAAGCACTTACTGTTCTTGCAAAGGGCCCAGCTTCACTTTCCAGTACCCACATGGCATGATTTACAACTACCTTTAATTCTCACTCCAAGGGACTCAACACCCTCTTCTGTCCTCTTTGTATCTGGACTCACATCACACATCTACACATATGACTAAAAACAAGAAAATCAATTCTCAGTGTAAAATTGGTGTTTTCACA